GTCTGTCTGTCTGTCCGTCCGTCCGTGTGTCTGTGTGTGTGTGTGTGTGTGTGTGTGTGTGTGTGTGTGTCTGTGTGTGTGTCTGTGTCTCTGTCTGTCTGTCTGTCTGTCTGTCTGTCCGTCTGTCCGTCCGTCTGTCCGTCCGTCTGTCTGTGTCAGTCTCATTGCTTCCTGGAGGCGGAAACCCTGAAAGCCAGACTTGAAATGCCAAAATCAGAAAACTTTGCTACGAACGCAGCGGGCAATGGTAGTCTGGGATCGCTAAGCCTCACTCTAATATCTAAGCTGGACTCTAAATCTCTAGAGTCTAAACCCAATCAATTCGAAATGTAATCCCCACACTAATCCTCATCTATAAGCCTGCATTCCCAAGCCTGACTCAAACCTCTTGGCTGAACGCTGAATCTCTAAACCCACTCACGTCTGAATGTAATCTCCACACCAACCCTCATCTCTGAGCCTCATCTCTAAATCCTAATCTCTAGGCCCCACCTAGGCTACCTGGGCCTGTCTGGAAGGGCAGGTCCAGCTGGGCAGCCTGGCGACCTGCCCAGAGAGGGTCCAGGTCAATCCGGGCGTGCTGAAATTCCTTTCCCCCCCCCCCCCCCCCCCCCCTGCCAGTGGGACGTTTCTGCGCCCACTGAAAGCAGCACAAATCCAGGCTCTATTTTTTTTTTTTTTTTTTAATGGTTGGGTTAGGGAAGGGGGGTATGAATGGGTTCAACAGGGTCCTTTAATCTCTAATCGACAGTCTTAACCTCAAATTGTTTTGTTTTGCTCTGATGCCCATGCACGGCTCATGGCTATGAAACATAATGTGGGTTTGCCAATTGTGCGTTTGCGAAAGCTGGGAAGGGAAACATCTGTAGTATTTCCCCACACTGTAAAAACTGCTAATGTAACAAATCTAAAATCTGCGCTGTCGAGGGTCCTACCACACCACGGTCTGGATGCTCGCACAAACTTAACAAACCTGTGATCCGGGCCGCTGGGTCCACAGCCCGGATACATGAATGTAACAAATCTGTGATCCGGACCATCACACCATACCAGGCGTGGCAGCTGGAGGTGAAACGATATTCACCAGTTCGCAGTAGCTGACACAGATCCCAGGGTTCGATCCCTAGCCCTTACCTTACCTGTGTACAGTATCTGTGTAGCCCCCGAGAATTGAACCCGCGACCTGTGTGTTTCGTAGCAGTTGGTAGGTCGTCGGGGTTCAATCTGTAGACCTGTCCAGTAGGAGTCCAGCCAGGTCTAGAAGTCGTAGCTGTAGGCTTCTCGAAGAGTCAAGGTCGTAGCTAATCCAGTCCTGAAGAGTCAAGGTCCTAGCTGCGACAGGACCGAAAGGCCAAGTCCACGGCCTTCTAGAAGGGCCCGGTGGTGGCCTTTCGAGGTTGCCCACGTTTAGGCAGAGGCAAGTGGGCACGTGGTGGAAGTCCACCGTGCAGAGTCAGCAGTCCCAGTCTAGTCAGTCCGGTCCAGTCAAGCAAGTACCGCCTGGGACTGTGTGCACCGTGGGCCAGGGACAAGGGGCAGACCGACGAGTCACAGAAGTATAAATCAAGAGGCCGCACACGGCCATCCATTCATTCCTGCGGAAGCCATGCGGAAGCGCTGCCTCAGCGGCTTGTGCAAGGAGGTCTGCAGCAGCCCGAAGTCTAAGTGGGCAAGAAGGGTTAGCATATCGATAGGTTAGCGGCGGCCATAGCCGCGATAGCTGTAGAAGAGTGCAGAGAGTGTGTGTGTGTGTGTCGGTGTTCAGAGTGTCGCGTGTGGGATATCCAGGGTGATCCGGTGTGTGTGAACAGTGAGTTGTTGGGCGCTGAGTCGCCATCGCCAGTGGAAGTGAACTCCTATCTGGACGCCATATCTCTGAGTTCTGTGTGGGCGCATGTCGCCAGTTTCCTGCGATGCTGTTTACATGCATGAAAAGTGTGAATGAGATGAGTCTGATTGCAGAGGGGGCAAACGGCGGAGTGAGGAGGGAGGTTGGTGGCAATCGACTTCACACATGGCGGAGGGCAGAGTAAGGGCAGTCGAGGTGAACTTCGCAAACAGGGGGCAAATATGAAAACCGAAGAGGGAGGGCGGCGGTGGCCAACTTTGCGCACGACGAAGCGCACAGTAAGGGCAACGACATGCGACTTAGCATACTGCGCTCATTGAGGCCTGAAGCCCTGCACATCTTAAAACACTGCGAAGTTGTAAACAGAGTTTGCAGCCCGTCAGGGTTGCATTTTCCCCCCCTGAGACATTTCAATGTCAATCAAATTTCAACGTCTGTGGTCGTCGGGAGGGTTGGCATTTTGAGGTTTTGGGGCCTTGCAAGGGCCAGGACCGCGTAGGACCAGTAGCTGCCAATAGGAGGCCGAGGAGGCTGCGGTACTTAAGCCTTTTTCGAAATTGAAACGGTGCGGGTCCACTTTTATTGAATAGCATAGCACCTCGAATAGACAATGTACACGTTGTATTCGAATACATGTACCCTTTCTATTCGGATTTCGAAAAGAAAAAAGTCTTGTATTCCAATAAAATTACTTCTTTTTTCTTTTTGGAGTCAGCGCCTACCCCTTTTTTTTTTTATAGCGCCTGCCCTTGTGCTCCCTGCCACTGACATGCTGCATGCTGCAGGTCTCTCTCTCTCTCTCTCTCTCACACACACACACACACACACACACACACACACACACACA